CTACTGATGCTTTATTCAGAAAAATTTATTATGTTAAGATAGTGTGTATTAGGCCATGCTTTCAAATTTAAGTGAATTATATTAATCCTCATAATAGGGTCAAACTTTGAAAACAAATTTGTGCTAAGATTTTTTTTTTAAATGTAAAGTAAATGAAGTAAAACACATTTGTCTAACATCAACTTAATTTTAAAATAACTGTCCTGTATAGTAACCCTATAAATAAGAAATTCCTCTTCGTTTCCAGCTCTGGTTTGGTTCTAAATTAGGCCTCACTTCATGGGAGACAAAGTTAATGAATCAGTTCATAAACAGAAGCTGTCTTTTTTTTCTTTATTTTGCATATTTCATGTTTCTATTGTATTTATGATTGAAAAAAAAAGAATCAAACTGTGGTCATTTTTCTGTTTCATCTAAACAAATTAAATTTATTAATTTTAATAAAAAAAACAAACAAGCAGAACAGAAACAGAATCATAGATACAGAGAACGTTTTGATGGTTGTCAGATGGGAGTGGTATCAGGAGGATGAGTGAAAAAAAGTGAAGAGATTAAGAACTACAAATTCGTGGTTACAGAATAGTCCTGGGGATGTAAAATACAGCATAGGCAAATAGAGTAGTCAAAGAACACATATGCGTGACTGATGGATTTGGACAATAGTGTGGGGATTGCCTGAGGGAGTAGGGGTTAGCAGCGTGGAGGGGGCAAAAGGGGAAAATTGTGACAACTGTAATAGCATAATTAATAAAATAAAAATTAAAAAATAAAATGATTATAATAAAGGATTTTAAGGTGATTAAATGAAAAGATATAATGTGTGAAGAGACATTGCTTAGTGCTTTTAATTCTGTTGCTTGAGATTGCAGATGTAAATTTGAATCCTACTTTAAAGCTGTATAACCTCAGGCAATTAATTAATTTTCCATGTCTGAGAAATTAATAATGTAAGACATGTAAATAGCATAGTGCCTGACACAAAGTAAGCACACAGTAAATATCTGCTGTTATTGTTAAATTATAAAACCTATGCAGATATTCACTTTTTATGATGTACTGATAATAAGACAATGACTCAGTTAGTGGTTTTTCTAAACCTATTTTAACAGATCTGGAGAGTTTAGTGGCATGTCAATCTGTATTTTCTTGATTTATAACCTGCAAACTCTGTGAAAGAATGAATGTATTTGTTGGTTTAAGCTAAAATTTTGATTGCATGCATTTGTCTTGAAGACACCTGGAATTATTTAGCTCTAACTTGTTCACATTTCAGAACTCTTCTTTGGCAAATATGAAAGTTAAACAACATTTTTATGGTTACAACTTTTCTGTACTGTGTTTTGCTGTGAGTCATTTTAATTTTGTTTTGTTGGTAAGAATGATTTTTCTGTCCTGGATAAAAAAAAAATCAGACTTTTGTAGAGAAGGTGTATAACATCTATTGATACCTGCAGCCTTCAGGAAAATGTTCCCTTGTCTTTCCTTAGGTAAATATCTGTCAGTTTTATTCTAGAATTTCTTGTGTATATATATATTTTTACCTTTCCACAGTTCTACTTCCAAGCCTTCAAAGTGATTTCTTTTCTTCCATGATCTCTTCTAATTCATTTTACACACCTTACCAGGTGCACCTACCTAAAGCTGGGAGTCATTTCACTTGCAGACCTAATGGTTCCTCATCCTACCTAGGATGCCTGTCCCCCAAATCATATTTCCATGACTCCTTTCTGCATATCCTGTCCCACTAAACTGTGGTACTCTTTCATAAAGCATACTTTTATATATCATATATTCATGGTCAATTTTAAGCCATTTGTCTATAGGGATTATTCTCTGGTCTTCATATATGATTTTAAGGTATGATGGAGATGCCTGTCTTCATCCTCTGTTGGCATAAACTATTGGCCTGTTATTTTCTGGGGCACTTTGTGTTTCTTTGAGCTGAAGCTCAGCCACTGCCTAAGAAAGGAGGAAGAACAAGAACTTCCAAGAGATGGATGGGGAAGATGGCTCCCATGGTGGTCCAGGCTTTGTCCTCTGACGAATAAACTTGTTCTCTGTCATTTTTCTCACTGAATTGGCTTCCTTGAACTCTGCTTCACCTGAGCTTCAGACTTACTGGTCACAAAGGCTGCTCTTCAGCTTGGCTGTCCCTTCGTCTAGTCCAAGTTCTACTTTTATTCCTTGCTGTTATACACTCAAGAGAGGGAGTAGGAGAGTGTGGGCAGGCAGGAGGGTCATGGGTGGCCTAGTACATGTACAACTGTTAAGCCTTCACTGAGCTATAATCTAGCTGGTGGTAGAATAGTGTCTCTCCAACTAGAGCATGTATTTGTCACCTCCAGTACTTGTTATAACAGACTGCTCAACCACATCTGGATAGGTCTGATTCAGTGGGTCTTAGGTGGGGTCTGGGATTTGTATTTCTAACACTTTTTGAGGAACTCATTATATTGGAAGTACGGTGTTGCTGAGCATTAGGTCAAATGCCACCTCTTCAATGATCTTTTCTGAATCCCTCAGCCAGGACATACAACAGTTGTTGTATGGTCTCTTCTCTCCAATTTCTTAGCAATTTATTTGCACCTCATAGTCTTTACTACTTTCTGTTCTATATAAAGTATGCATGTCTTGGCTTTGCTAGCAAGGTATAAACTATTTGAACTAGTCTCATTTATCTCACTTCTTCAAATGTGCAGTAACTATACTTACACAACAGGTTGTATGGGTGTTCTTCATTATCTTTGTGCCTCCATCCTCCAGCTTCTGTATACTTTGCTCCTACCAACTTGAATGTGCAACTTTCTTAAGAGAACTAAACCTGAACTACTAGAGGCACTTATCTCAGACTTGTGGAGAGCCGATATTGTCTGGAAGTTGCCATCCCCAGCAGCATGACCTACAGCTAATACATGAATACAAAAGCCCACCTCCCTCGCCTTGAGGTAGACACATCCACTCATAGCCTCACAGAATCAGGCTGAGGCAGGAACCTCACCTGAAATCAAACGCTTGTTTGGACTCTTCCATTTCTCTACGCTGCTTTCCTTACTTTCTTAACAAGTTTCTTCTGGGAACACTTCCTTATTGAATCTCTTGCACATTCTCTCTTGTTTCAGGGCCTGCCTGCTTCTGAGAAACTGGAAGGTGTTGTATAAATGCTCATTGAATGAGTGAGTGCTTGTTGAATGAATAGTTAGGAGAATGGACTCTGAAGCCAGACTGCCTAAGTTTAAATCCTAGATCTACCCCGTACTAGTTCTGTGACCTTGGGCAATTTATTTAACTTCTTGTGCTTTAGTTTCTTTATCTAAAAAATGGAGTTAAAATAGTATTTCATCAGAGTGTTATGAGGAATAGAAAAATTACACTTAAGTTATTTGGGTATAGTGTAAGTGCCAATTAGCTGTTTGTAAAAACAAATAAAAATGAATAACTTGAAAGAAATTAAGAAAACACAAGTAATTGGAAAGATTCTGTGTTCATTGATAAGAATACAATATAACTAGGATGACAATACTACCAGTGTGACCTATAGATTTAATGCAATCCCAAATCAAAAGTTCTAATGACTTTTTTTGCAGATATAAAAATCCTTCCTAAAGGGACTCTGAATAGCCAAAATTATCTTGAAAAAGAATAAAAAGTCAGAGAAGACTCACACTTCCCAGTCTCAAAAGTTAACAATTTGGTTTAATACTAACCAAAAAAGTGCTGTACCAGCATAAGGACAGACATATAGGCCAATGGAATAGAATAGAGAACTAGAAAGTAAATCCTCACATATGTAATCAACTTATTTCTTACAAAGGTGCCAAGACTATTCTATGGGGAGAGGATGGCCTTTCAACAAAACTGATGAATAGCTATGCAAAAACATGAAGTTGTATTCTTACTTTATACCATATACGAAAATTAACTCAAAATTGATCACAGTCCTAAATATGAGACCTAGAAGTATAAAACATGTAAAAAAAAAAAAGAGGGAAGGTTTTCATGACTTTGGTTTAGCAATGATTCCTTGGATATGATTTCAAAAGCACAGACAACAAAAGAAAAAAATGATAAAATGAACTTCATTAAAACAAAACATATTCTATACATCAAAAAACATCAAAAAAATGAAAAGACAACCCATAGAATGAGAGACATACTTAAAAAGAATATATCCTATAAGGGATAAATGTCCATAATATATAAAGAACTCCTATAAATAAACAATAAACAAACAGAAACAACAATTTAAAAATTGGGCAAGGACTTGAATAAACATTTCTTCAAAGAAGATACACAAATGGTTAATAAGCAGAGAAAAAGAGGCTCAACATTAATAGTATTAGAGAAACACAAATCAAAACCACAATAAGATACCACTTAATACCTGCTAAGATAGCTACTACAAATAAACAAACAAAACAGAAAAAAACCCCCAAAAACCAGTGTTGGCCAACATGTGGAGAAACTGGAATTCTCGTGCGATGTGGGAATATAAAATGGTGCAGCTGATGTGGAAAATAGTTTAGCTACTTTTCAAAAAGTTAAACATAGAATTATCATATGACCCAGTAATTCCACCCCCCATCCTGGTATATATGCCAAAGAATTGAAAGCAAACACTCAAACAGATGTACTTTCTAAAATCCAGTAAACCAGTGCTCCCAGCAGCATTATCCATAATAGCCGAAAGGTGGAAACAACCCAATTGTCCATTACAGATGAATATCTAAACAAAATGTCGTAGACAATAAAATATTATTCTGCCATGAAAAGGAATGAAATTCTGATATATGCTACAACATAGATGAATTTTGAAAATATGTTAAGTGAAATAACCAGACACAAAATGACAAGTATTGTATGATTACACTTACATGAGGGATCTAGAGTAGACAAACTTATAGAGAAAGAAAGTAGAATAGAAGTTACCAGGGAAGAAAGGTGAGTGAGGATTTACTGTTTCATGGGTACAGAAACAGTTTAGGTTGATAAAAGAGTTTGAGATGTTCACCTGGTAGGGGAGATACCATGATCATGAAGGTGATTTTCCCAGGGCGAGGTTTTTGCGCTCTGGATGTGCTGACCCCTGCAATTTCCCCAAGGTGGGAAACTCCACTGTATAATTTATTGTAGTGGGGGATGCGTTCACGCTCTCCCCATAGGGGAAAAAAAGTTTTGGAAATAGTGGTGATTGTTGCACAACATTGTGAATATATTTAATGCAATTGTATACTTGAAAAATGGAAAATGTTATGTTTAGTATATTTACCGGATTTTAGAAAGTATATTAATTCTACTCTTTCATTTTGCTGTTCCTATTGTGTCTTTGGAACTTTGATATGTATCATGAATGTTTCTTTTCTCTCTCATTAAGTAAGTACATGTGAGTCATTTATGGGCATTTAAACAAAGCACCTGGATAGTTGTGAAATTTTAAACGTCCAATTAAAAACAAGGTATATAAATATGAATAAATAAGGGAATAATTAGGTTGTTTGAAGAATTCTTTAGGTTCAGTCAGAATTTGCAGTAACTTCATGAGTGCAGTGAGTCCTGGTTAGTTGTTGATGCCATAAAGCAATTTGAGCCTAGTGTTTTTTTCAGCTTTACCATTTTTGATTGTATAAAAGCTATCCGTATGAGTCCTCTTGTTTTGGGCTTATAGGCAAATTGATCTCCAGCCAGATGCTCCATCTTCTTATGTATCACACCTCTCCACAGAGCTGAAATGTTCCCCTGAAGAGAAACTTTTAAAAATCCCACAAACTCTAATTTAGATTTGGCAGTCACTGTGTTGTGGTATTTGAGTGTTTTAGACTTAGCAATAAATAACGTTTTAAACCTTCCAATGTCTTGTGTCTTACTTGCTGTGCTCTCTGTATCTGTAGGCAAAAGCCCTCAATGAAAAAGTCACCTATTGGTTAAGACTGTCCTTCCCTCCCCATAGCCTCAGATTCTCTTCATTTTTTATCATAAATAGTGAAGTGAAATGAAAGAAGGCGGGAGGAGAGGAGGTGTATTTGTTCATGAGATAGTGTTCCCAAGGAATCAGTTGACAAGCTTGACCAATTTTTTATAACATGTACTCTGACATACTTTTGCATTTGCTTCTCAGACTTTTATATCTTTATCTTAAGACTTTTTGATTTTTATCTGGGGGCCTGTGAGACAGAGGACTGAACCATTTAAATATCATTTTACATCCAATTTTATTAAAAGGAAGACAATAGGAATACAAGGCCAAATTCCACTTGACAACTTTCTAAACATCAGCCAATCTCACACTCGTTTTAAACAAAACTACTTAAGTCCTTTCTGGAACAAGACAAAGCATAAAGAGACAAAACGATAATATGTCAACCTATTTAATACAAAAAGTTTTCATCTTTGGATATGTAATAGAATATTTTTTCATCTTTGCTACTTGGATTTAAATCAGTGTCTCTTCTGGTTGTTGGTCAAAGGTTCTTAGGTGAAAGGGTAGTTTGTTACAAATTATTCTGTTTAAAACATCTTTATGTAACTTGTGTATCTGTTCTTGGGTGTGTAGATATATATCTCGCCATACTTTGCTGTGGGAGTTTATAACAAGAGATGAGTGGCCCTGAGCATACAGCTAGGTTGAGCATGGGAATACCTACTGGTTTGAAATCTGAGCTTTTGGATATTGACACCTACATGTGCACATACATATGTACACAATACATACATACATACACATATTGTCCCACTTTTTGGGCATCTGATCTGAGAAACAATGACATGGTCAATGGACAGAGACAGAAATAAGAATGGCCTCGAGGCAGAGGGCAGCTTGAAGTATAACTTGTAAAACTAGTTTGTATGGGGCACTGGCTCTTTCCACACAAGGCAAAGAATTATTCCCATATAGGGTTAACAGTAACAGAGCATACTCCATTATGGCAAGCATGGAAATTCTGGAAATTCTCTTAGAGGGAATATATCAACTTAAGTGAATTGTGTACCACAGGGATCTTAGAATCCTGAGTAGAGATTATGCTGATAGAGACAAATCGGTTATTTTCACCTAACTCTCCAAGCCTCACTGTTTGGCTTTACATAGGAAATTGAAAGTAAACCATTATTTATTTACCTTTACTGCAAAACTTGAATGGTGAAAGTCTGTTGATATGCAGTGAATCCCCAGTGGGAAATTACTAGAACTAGCAAGAATGGGAATATTTGTTTTTAAATGGATTTTTAAATTGACCTTGATAGTTTTCAGTGTTTCTTAATTAGTGTTTGCAAATCTGCTGATTTTACAAAAAAATCTGTTTCTTGCTGTATTAGAGTATAACATCACAACAAAATTAGCATTCCATATGTTGTTTTGTTAAACACACTTGGTGACTTTCTTTAAAATCCCTTGGAAAATGTTTTGAAATTTGTTGAAACAAATATGCAACACTTGAAATTAAATGGTGATTATCACCACATTGGTCTTTATTTAAAGCATGACGGGTATGTTTGGACTCTGGAACGCTATCACTGAACACATACCCTTCAGAAATTACTCATGAGTAGGTAGACCTAGATACAAGAGTTTTTATCTAGGCAAGTAAAAGTAGCTTGCTGCAGAATCCCAATGCCATTATGCCACAATAAAGCTCGTCTGCTTCACCAAAGGCTGAAGTGGCAAAAACAATTAAAAAATCTTTTAGTAGGGTTTCTCTTCTATAAATGGAATGAGAAAATTCAGCCCCCTTTTCCTAAAATCTCCTTCAGAACTCTTAAAGAGAAACCTAAAAACATGTTTCATTTGAAATTGGAGAATTTGGTTATATACCATTGGTAGTACTAATCATTTTAACATTGAATCATTTATTGAAACAGATGTGGAAAATGTCATGTCTGTGTCTTCATTTCAGACTTAAAGTGTAGTTAGCAAACATACTGAACATCTGGTGTGTGCTGGGCACTGAAGTCAGTTATAGGAATAAGACGCAGTGGCACCAATAACTCTACTTGGAAGGCCTCAGAGCTAATCAGGGCATTAACAAGTGAGAGGGGAGGGTTGCTCAGGGAAGATTTCAGAGTAGACGCTTAAACTGAATCTTAAAAGATACATACACGTTTACCAGGTAGAAAAGGCAGGAAAGAACATTCCAAAATGAGTGGATGACCCATATGATCACTGATTCTTTGTATTTACTAATTCATTTTCAAGAATCTGATACAGAACACACGTCCCCTCGATCTCTTTGTATCTAAACACATGCTTTTAGTCACACTGAACAGATAATTCATGAAACACTTTGATGACTTCAAGTGATAAATGGTGATAATTTTCAGGTGAGTTGTTAAATGTAAAATGGTTTTGATTAAAGGAATAAAGGTCTAGTTGTGAATAAGCTTTTATTGGGTCATAGGCTGTCACCACCATATCTTATATTCATTTATCCTTTCTTTCTTTCAATAAATCTTTATTGAACATTTATTATATGCTGGACACTGTTTTAGGTCTTGTGATCAAGATCTCATGGATCTGCTTTAGGTGAAAGCTGATGGGGCCTGTCTTACTCATTGACCACAATGACCATCATCCCCCTTCTCTGCTCAGACTCTCTGACTGCTTTCCATTACAATTAGAGATTCTCAAGGCTGCATATGATCTGGCCCAAGTTACCTCTACCACGTTATCCCCTACCTCTAATCAACTGTGTCACTCTGCTCCAGCCCCATTACCCTGCTTGATGTTCCTCAAGTAAATTAAGGAAGCTCATGCTTCAGAATTCTTGTTGTTTTGTTTGTATGGAATACTCTTCCTACACATATCCATGGGCTCATTTTCTCATTTTATTCAGGGTTCTGTTCAAACATCCCTGCAACAAAGAGTCTTTAGCTGACATGGTCCTCCTTTATTTTCTGTTCTCTTTCCTTGATTCATTTTCTTCATAGCACTCATATACATTATGTAATGGAATAATATAAAATAAAATATTAACAATATAGTACAATATGATCGTGTGTGTGTGTGTGTGTGTGTGTATGTGTGTAGCCTTTCTGTCCACTAGAATATAATCTCCATAAGGTCAGGCATTTTATTTTGTTTATGGCTATATTCCTAGCACCTAGAACAGAGCCTGGCCATAATATATATTTGATGAATATTGGTAGATTGTTGAATGACTCTTTTTCATTTGGAGCATTGCAATTCATTCTTCTTTATCTTGGGTTTGTGTCTCTTTCCTATACGTAGTCAGCTAAACAATTAAGGAATAGAATTACTGTACCAAAAATATGTATTAAGGGAATTCAATCATAAGAAGTCCCAGTTATTTACTAAAAATACAACTAATAATAGATCCACAAGATTCTTTCCTGGAGCCCTGTTTTCTGGACATTTGGCCATTGTGACTTTGGTTTGGCTTTGCTGTTATTTTTACATAGTGTTAATGTGTTCCTGACATATTTCAGAGGCCAGGCTTGTCATTCACTTTGAGAGATCCCATGAATTTTTCTCTTACACTTTTGAAATTAAATTTCAGTATTGAATCATATTTATTGTTTCAGTCAAAATGGATTTGATTTACAGATGTTAGATCCCTTAAAAACCGGTCTAAAAAAAGAAACCTTCCATCAACTTCAGTTTGTGTTTTCTTGTCTCCTCTAAATAAGAACTAAGAACTTTCTACGATACATTTTCTATGACACTGTCTTGTGTTGAAATCATCAGTGCATGTTAAACTAAGTATATAATATTTGCTTGTTTTAAGGTTTGTTTCATAAGGGAAGTAGTATAATTGCTAGCAAGCTGTGTATACCTTTTCAGAATATGATTATTGTTCATGAAAGTGGTTTTAATTGAAAATTTTATGTCATAGATAGCCTATAGCAAGCTTAGATCCATATACTTATATTTATGTGTCTATAACTTATTTTTAAGATTCCTTATACAACAGTATTTTGAAATTTCTAAAGGTTTTCTCTTTTTTTGGTATTCATATGGGAAAATTTAAAAATATTGCTGTTATATTCAACTGTTGGCACTGTTGCAGGCAACTAAAAGCTTAAGAAAATTATTTCCCTGCCTGTCCACCCCGACCCTGCAAAGCCACATCTAAAAAGGTCACAAAAGGAAACACACAATTCAAATAATCTCCATGTTGTATCTAAGATTAAGTTGGACACAGATGTTT